TTTCAAAGCTCCTGCTACATCACAAGCATTTATTTCTGACCACAAAATTACATTTATTCAACAGAAAGCAGCTCAGGGTCTTTAAGAGGTTAACTTCTGGAGTGCTTGGCTGCTCTCCAGCCTCTGTACTAGAATCAGCGCTAGCGCAACAGCGCACAACAGCACCCAGGCTAGCCGTGATTAATAGAGTGCTGAATACGCTGCTTTCCACATACACACACTTTTCATTCCCTTGCTTCCATAGATCATGGACTTATCCTCAAAATATCTGACTGAAATTGAATTTGGCTTCTCTCTCAACCGTTCATTTCCTATGTTATGCAAGGTTATATCCTTTTCTGCATGAGCAGAACCAAACCAGCTGCAGCTTTTGAGAAGAAAATGTGTTTTCAATTATGAAGCTGGCCTGAATATTGAACCACAGTTCTACTGCTACTCTAATTGAGCCATCATGGAGTGAACCTACAGGAAAGAAATTGTATTAATTAGGTTTGTAAATTTAACATAAGGAAATTAAAGGGGGGGGGGGAAGAGATGAACATCAGCTCAGGAATACTCCTTCAAAAATGCAGAAGGAAAGCATGCTTTAAGTTCTTCAGGCACACACATTATTAAAGCACTCTTTCAAAGGCATGATTAGTAGTTCCAGCACACCAGTCAGGTTTCCAGCTTCTGTTGTCTGCATATGGAAAATTATTAAATTACTCTCCTGACCAAATTAATAGTTTAAAGAGCAGCGCAGCTAAGTGGGGAGCCAGAGTGGTCTCATCAGAGTGGCAGTAGCCTTAAAATTACTTGCTCTGCGAGAAGAAAATAAGAAATGGCTTTCACAGAAATAAAGTCTAGTGTGTTGCTTTGGAGTATTTGCCTTAAAGGGTTCTCCAAATGAGGGATTACTGCATTACTGTTGGACAGTGCTGTTATGCCACATGAAAAGAATGCTAATGACCTCAGGAAATCCTCTCCCAGCCTTAAAATATCTATTTGATGACTTCACGAATACGGATTCGGACACTAGATTTCCATACCACAACTTATGTTCTTGGGCTATGTTGATTTACAGAACTAAAAGTTTTTCATATTTCAGATTTCATGCACAAATATCCATTCACTCATGTAAACATGATAACGCCCAATAATCTACTGTGTTTGAACAGTCTATTTAGATGGTTGCTTGGAGGTGTGCCTTGCTAACTTGGAAATTATATATATTATTATTTTAATACTCGAATGACAAAGCTTTTTAGCCTTTACTGATTCTGCTGTGTATTTAGCCCAATTTACAATGAGCATAGCATTAAGAAGATGCATCCTCTGGTTAATTGTAAGCAAAAAAAAAAAAAAAAGATTTAAGACAGAAACAACAGCAATTTTACACCTCTTTAATGAATGACTTCTAATTGTCTTGCTCACAATAGCCTATTTACACCAGCCAAGCTTTAAATCTTCTGGGAAAGTTAGAAAAGCTACCCACAAAAATCAAAAGGTCAGCACTATCAGCTTTGAATCAGATACAACATTCTGTTCATTTCAAAAACCTGCAGTCAAATTTCCATTAAAATCCTAAATAAGGAACAAGTACGATAATAAAATGATACTACAATGATGAATTAATAGTGTCTCAAGCTGCACTCTGAATGCATTTTAAAATTTGTAGCATGCTAAATTCCATTTCATGATGCTTTTACTTTAACTGTCACCAGGAAAAAACCCACACTTACTCAAACCTCCAAAATTTATACAAAAAAGTTATTTCCAGCAACTAATGGAAACTGGGTATTTGATAATTGGAACAGTTTTCATCTGCAATTTCTTTTGATTGAGATAAATATCCACAGAATATGAAACATTCCGGTTTGAAGTTTTTCATTTATAAATTCATATTATACAAAGTACAAAGAAGAAAAAAGGTCGTTTATTAATATCCATAACCAAACTGAGAGGAAAATTCAGCTACAGAAAGTGACCACTGGATTCACTTAAAAAAAAAAAGGCGAACTAGCCACAGGTTTACAAGCAACGTCCCATAAGGTGTGCGAGGGAGGATATTTAAATACGTGAGCTTCAGTTAACCTCTCTCCAAGTCACGTCAGGCTCACCGAGGGTACAGTTCAAGGACAGTTTAAGTCAACCTAAGCCGGCAGAGGCGCGCTCCTCCTGCCCTTGGCTTTGCGCCTCTGGCCTCTCCTGGCCGGCAGGAGCCTGCAGGGAGCGCGTTCAGGGGAAAAAGGGAAAAACAAAACCTTCTGCTCACCGTGGGATCACAGTAGCAAAAGTGCCGAGGCAAGGGAGGAGGGGGCAACGTAGTCCCGAGGAACACAGCAATATCCATGAACACCAACCTCAAACAACACGGACTGCTAGGGAACCGTACCCTCTGAGCTCCTGCCCCTCTGGCGGGCCAGCGGGCACCGTTCTCACGACTAGCGCTGAGCCCTGCTGCAGCACAGTCATCCCACGAGGCATCTGCACATGCCTGCTTCCTCTCTGTGGTAGAGTTATAATTAAATATTACTGTGACATGCGGAGGGGACCGTCTCAGTTCTCCCGTCAGGGAGCAAGAAAAGGATGCAGCAAACCACAGCAGGGGTGGAGGTAGGAAAGTCAGGGGCAAACGTGGTGGAGATTCTCCCACATGGGAGAACGTAGAAGCTGCACCATGGAAGAACATTTTTTTCTAGCTTCTGTGTCAGAAACAAGCGAGGAGGTGCCAGTGGTGCCCAAGGTGCAGTCATACCCATTCATGCTGCCTACAGAAGCTGCAATCAGCATTCAGCACTCCTGCAGCATTCCCAGCCTGCTTCTTGGAGAAGAAAACCAGATGTTCTCATTTTTTCTCCTTCTACCTCTGTTGTATTTATTGACTCCTGTTTTTTAGAAAAATATCCTACTGTGGGGCTGGAAACTGAAATCGCTATAGCAGAATCAGGGAACCTCTTATAAGCAGATCACTCCCTATTCCTCTTGCCTTGCCCATGCCCACGTCCCATGTGTGGACCAAAAGGTCTCCCGTCACCTCCTCCCAGGACATCAGATATCAAGTAATATCATAGGTAACACTTGCACAGGTAACACCCGCACTACTACAAAGCAACTCCACTTTGCTCGTGGGGTGGTGTCCTGCTGCAGCTCTATGGCTTGCTGATCCACCTTGGGCCAGAGCAAGAGCAGGCATCTCCAGTGGATTAGAAATGGAGGAAAGCCTACACACTTAACACACATTGTTCTTGACCTACCTGGAGCATTCCTCTCAGGAACCTTCAGAAAGTCAGTCTTAACAGTAAACAGAGACCAAACCTATATACTGAACAATAAATTCTAACTTGGCAGAACAGGCTAGTATTCCTGGTATTTTGAAATGTCTCCAAAGCAAGGTAAAGTAATTATATCTTCTATGAAATACCACATTTCACAGTTAAATGTTCTGCATTTATGAAGTCAATGATGATTAATTCAGTTCTCTTAGCTTTCTAAAGTCCTGTTTACGTGAGAGAGACTGGAATTTCTGGGGTAAGAGAAGCAACAGTACAATCTTGTGAAGTAGTCATGCTTCACTAACATAAAAGGGGATTTTACCAACAAATTTTACTCTTCTAATTTCTGAGATTTAACTCATACCAATATAAACTTCATTTTTATATTAGCGAAGCAAATCTACACAAGAGGAGTATGTGAAGAATCATACCAAGGTAAGAGTGAACCGGAGCACATTTCTCCAGCAGACAAGATCTAACAGGAGAATCTTCCTTCACTGTAGCAAAATTTAGATTTATCTCTCTTACTTGATCCTGAGATGTTCATTAAAGAATAGTGCTGAAAGCACACACACGCTTCAGTCAGTGCACTGCGAACTTGAAACTAAAGTGAGAAGTGTTTAAGAGCACTGCCATTCCCTCCGAGCAATAGTCAAGTGGACTCACACAAGTCATTCTTTGTCCTCACAAATTACTATTAGACATATCAAAGGCAGAGGTGTCTTATTTATTTATAGCAATACCTGGGAAATTGAGTAGTAAAATAAAAAATAGCATACTGCTTTTAAGATGAGAAATTATTGCGATGTGCAGGTAATCAGAAATGTAACTCTCATTAAAGATAATAGTAGTTGTGCACTTAATTCCCTATGCAGACTCCTGAAAACATGCTCCTAAATTTCTCTGCGCTCTGATGGGAACTGCAACAGTATAAAATCAGCTCACAACTTATTATAGATTTGGAAAGTAAAAAATGTTGCTGCTTTTATACAGCTGACTTTAAGCAAAGAACTCGACTATGAACAACAAAGTCAGAGGTTAGATCTAGATCTACTACCCCACTCATGCACCGATCTTTTTAAGGAGAAATACAATTTTCTAACTTCAGTTATGACAGCAGTGCAACAGCTCCCATTTGCCCCAAGCACTCATGAGGAGTGAGTGCTTCAGTGCCGTCCACAACTAAAGTGTACAATTCTGTAATTGGTCCAGTTGCCTTTTCATACAGAAATTCTCCAAAATCACAACAAGTTAGCTTTTGAAGTTGTGATCATGCTAATCATGTGTTTCTCAGGGGAGATGTGAAGAGAAATCCAACAAAGAGCCAGCACCAGAGTCGTTAACACTTCTTGCTGGTTTTCCAACAAACATCTGCCGACTTTAGGTTCCAACAAGCCCTTCAGAGCACAATGTTTCAGAGCCGAAAGGTTTATAGTGAAAACAATTGCAGTAACTTCGTATTTTTGCTTAGGCACATCACGTTGCATGCACTAAGCGTTCAACCCCGCTACCAAGTCACTGAGGCATAATGTGTTTGCGTGTGCCACCTGAGTCACGGTAATGGTGAGCTTACGTGCAGGTACGCTAAATGAGAAGTGATTTGCCTAGTTTAGCTCACCACAAACACATCCAAAGCAATCTGCAGAAGGGCTGCACCCCGGTAAGGCTCTCCGCTCAGGGAGCTCCATACCCACCAGGCTGCTGGGAAGCAAGATCAAAAGCACCCGGAGAAGCATAAGCGCTTACCTCTCCCTGGAAACTCTTCAGTAATGGAGCTACCTGTTTGCGCAGGTCCTAGAAGACAGAAACAAGATATTTCATCAGAAAAAAAAAAAAATTGATATGTCATTGACAAGTTTTTCCAAAAACTGTTTTCACTTCTGGAACACTACTTAAATCTTGACTGCATTTTACAGGAGCTTTGACTGAGTTAAAAGTATATCTAGAATTCATTTTGAACAGTCTGCATTTCCAGTTTGATGTATACCTGTATCTGTTGCAAACAGTATTAATTAACAAAACCAGAGCGATGTTGAGTAAGTACTAAATGCTTTCAATCTCATAATTCAGCTGAAACACTAAGACGATTAAAAGTAAATGCCTCTATCTACCTAAACACCAGCTACACCTCTGTACTTATGCCAGAGCCTCCTCTTCACTCATATAAATTTTCACAAATGGAATCTAGGCTGAAGGAAGACGACTCCGGGCCACCATTTCAACTAAGAGTGTTGCCATTTTGAAAAAGGGCCATTTTCTTCTTTTTTCTCCTCAACGGTGCTCTGACTTTAGCCATCGGAGAGCAGAAGAAAAGAGCATTATTAGTCAGCTTCTGGATAACTCAAGATTTCTTCTTCAGACTTATAACATGCTTTGTACTACAAAATTCACTAAAACGCTGCCCACAGAACCACCCTAAAAGTTTTATAGCGCATTTTTTCCTTAGCAACTAAGATCATTTAGGAGAAGAGAGGCGTATCTATCTTGTATATAAAATTCTCAGTGGCTCCACTTTTAAGCTGGCTTAGTCTAGTTTACTTGCAAATTCTCAGATTTATCATTATGGGCCTGCCTGACGAATGAAGTCCTGCAGCTCTGCAGAGGACGCTGCATTACTCCTGCACAGCCAAGAAGCTACGCTCCTGTTTTAGCTGTAGGATTGCACTGCGGAGCCGCAAGCAGCCACTTCATAGTGCATGCACAGCTAGAAGTATATCTGCAACCTGTATATAACAATGCACGCAGTAACACTACGATGCTGCATCGTTTCGGGGGGGCAGTGCAGGGAGGGGGTGGATTTCCCATCCTCGGAGGTTTTCAAGGCACGGCTACCCGGATCCAGAGTGGGCGCTAAAGTCCCATTTTGAGGGCCAGATGGGACTAGAGGCCCCCAAGACATCCCTTCAACCAAGAGTCCTACGATTCCCTGACGATATTGCTCACAACTGGGACAGTCAAGAACCACTGAAGTAACCGTGAGATCTTTCCTCTGCTGGACAGAGGCCACAGCCCCTTAGCTGCAACGAACCCTGCGCCTTTCGGAAAAGCGAGTCACCTTAAAAAGTTGGGAAATTCTCTCTTCCAATGCAATAACAGATTTACTTTTAGATCTAGAGTCATGCAACATATTGGATATTGAACCTCTCACTGGTCCAAAATATCCTCAGCCCTGGATTTAATCTGACTTGCTGAAGGAAAAGGAGACTTTCCGGACAACTGATTTTTCCCATTTAAATGACAAGCCATGGAGAAAGCTGGACTAGAAGGAGCTCTCCCACTCCCTGAGAAATGGCTTAGGGGGCCAAACGCAAATGAAAGTATCAAAGACGAACAACCAGCCAAGTTTCACTTATTCGAAGGTTATTGCACTAACATGCAGCTAATCCGTATCAAGTTATAGATAACGTAGCAGTTTTATAAGCTCCCTCTTCGGCACCAAACCAAACGCTTTTGTTCTTAAAGCAAGTCAAGTCACCTAAACGTTTCCTGACGCTTTTTGTTGTTTATTTTAGAACAGAAAAGGGGTAGATACTGTCCTCACATATCAGCAGCAGCTATAAATTATGCCTCTACCAAAGCAAACCTGGCAGGTTTAGCAGCATTTCCCACTCCCTGACTACTCGGGGAGACGAGAGGGCTTTGCACATCTTATAACATGCTTTTCCTGTAATCTGGCGATGATGACATTGAAGAAAATAACAATAACAATCAATGGCAAAATAAGTGCCTGCAATTCAGGCCAAAATCTGGCACGCCAGGTTTTAATGTGCAGTGAAATTACAAACTGAGACACAAGATTTACAGTCAGGATACTGACATCTTTTTAAAATTTATAAAAATCAGGAAAAATTACACCATTCAAGCAAAGCAACATTTCGGGAAATAAAAACTGCAGTTCCTAGGAAATCACCAGTTTTATGGTTTCTGCCCCTGATATTGCCTCTAAATTTACTGATGTGTTTGGCACCAACCGGCAAACTGATGTCAAAACTGAAAGCAGAAATATAGGAGACCTGATTGAAGACGAGCCCCAAGTCTCTTATTTGCACAGCTCTCAAGTACAAGAGCGGGGCATCACTCCCGTTGCTTACGCACAAGGCCTGAGCACTAGAAATCACCCCAGATACATCTGCAGATGACAAAGCACCCCAATGACAGTCACTGAAATAAAGCCCCGGCAAACATAAGCCGTGTTCCTCTCCGCGTGGGGGTGAGCTCTCGCCAAGAGCCTCCTCTTGAATTTCATATTCTGACACGCACTAACTTCTGGAAAGACAGGATTTGGAGCACCTCGTATTTCATGATATAAACTACGTCAGGACTCTGCCTCCATATTCAGCTTTAATAACAAGAGATGCTGTTGTTTAGGGGGGAGCGAAGAGGGCGAGAAGCTGGGAAAGGAAGAGGAGTGTGACGAGCATCCCAAAGCCAAAAAGCCACTCGGTCAAGCTGTCGAAGAGGGAGAAAAGCTATCAAGGACAAAAACGACGAGACTCCCAAACATCCTTCGTATAGCAAATGTAGGATGCTACGCACTCATCTCAGCAATCAAAACGTTACCAAGCAAAAGTCTTGACATAGTGGGAAAACGTATCGTGCTCGATTTAGACAGCAGCTTTCGGTGTTGGTAAAGCTGTTTAAAAACATTTCCTGATAGAGGTGAATGCAGCTCAAAGCGATTCAGTCCCCCAGGCAAGCGATCTGTCCTACCAGTTATCAGTCTGGGGCAATCCTGGGACACACTGATCATTAGAGCGCACCGTTTAACATGGTAAACTGCTTTGATAACTTGAAAACTCAGCAATCACTTGAGATGTTCTGCAACAGGACGCTAGAGACGCAGCATCCCTCTTCCAGGCTCTGTTGCTGCACTGAGCAGCTGGTCTAAGAAAACCAGCTACAAGGAGTTTGCTCCAGTACCTAAAAGCAACTGAATATGCTATGCAGACCAGTGGGTAAATGGCACATGCTGTAACAACAGGAGTAAGTAGGAATAAAGGAATGAATATCTTCCCCATACCATTTCTATTTCTCTCCCCCGCTCCCTCGTCGAAGGAGTTTATAGTGCAGGCCGCTTTCATAATTGCTTACTTGGCTAAACAGCATCAAAACTTTAGACAGCTCACAACAAAAGGGAAGTAAAAATAAACACAAAAGTCAAGACTACATACGCCTCGAGCCACCGGCTAAAACTCTGCTGGTGAGATTTATTTTTGGCAGTTGGGAGAAATTCCTCATCAGACTTTGTCTCGAAATGTTACACTAACATCAAACAGAGTTGTACCTTCTCTGCACAAAACCGCGCGGAGGGAAAGACGCTCAGTTCTGACCCAGGGGAAGCTGCCGCGCTGCTTAGCAAGGACACCGTATGATTTATTATCTGTTTAAAGTGTAGTGGCCTTTACTGCCTGGGCTGTGATCAAAACAGGAAAAGCAACCAGCTCCAGCCCTCGCGTACAGCTAGCAAATCACTGCGAGCAGGCAGCGCAGCTACAAAGGGTACATGCTATTGAACAGTAAAACAAATGATAACTTATCAACCCGAATGGATTGAAATCTTTGAGGGCTTCTATGCAATCGCATTATTAGCCTGCTTTCCCAATGCCATCTAAATGTGCTCGCTCTCCCTCCCTGTGAATGATTTATCAGGACAGAGCAGTTCCCGGACACAGACTCTATCGCAGACAGACTCTGAATTAGGATGCGGTATCATTATCTGAATCAAATCTGATAGCTGAAAGCTAATGTAGCATTTTCCTCTTTACAGGGGCAGAAACAACTAGTTTATATTTTGATCAAATAGCTACGCTACGAAATCTGCATCCAAATTTTTTTTAAAACTCTCTTTCCACGCACATTAAAAAAAAAAATCTCTCTTCAGAAAATAAACCAAGAATAAATCTACGCTAAGAACCTGGGTAGCAATCGCATCCTTTCTGACAACTAAGCTACGTTCTTTACCTGTCACAATCTTAATACACTGCGTACAGTACAAAGGACACACCAATGGTGAGGCTACCGACACCGTATCTTTAATTTCCTTGCGGTCCGAAGCTACGCAGCCCCTTCTGCTCTCCACTCAGCCTGCTCCATCTCATTCACCTCCAAAGGGCTTATCTGCAAACGTCACAACAGGAGCCCTGCGCCCCAGCTCTGATGGGGCGGTCCAGCACAGCTAAGCTAAGCTTGACCCGCACGCCTTTGCCATCTGCAAAAGTACTGTGCGCTTGTAAAACAAAAGCGCACCAAAACTGGGGCAAGCGTTCTCCCCTGCACCTCCTAGGCCCCGTTGTTCGTGATTCGTTCGAGGCACCGCCTGCTCGAGCGGCGCCTTCGCCGGGGAACGTCGCTGTGGCTGGCGGAGAAATCCTAATGAGCAGCAGCCCCCTCGGTGACATCATTAGCTCGGCTGTCACTATCTGTTTTGGAGCTGGCTTATCGCAAGTACGACGCTACGGCTGTTCTGCCATCTTTCCCTTTCGCATCGCCTCCCTCGTCAGCCGCCACGTAGGAGGGAGCTAACAGCTGGCCCTGCACCGAAAGCCGGCACGGCTCGGCAGCGCCGCTCTAGACACTTTCTCACGAGGACTTAAACCCCTCTCCCCCCCGCCACCCCCCGCACCCAAACCCCGAACAAACCCCAGTATAGCGCGGCTCTAGACACTTTCTCACGAGGACTTAAACCCCTCTCCCCCCCGCCACCCCCCGCACCCAAACCCAGAACAAACCCCAGTATGTATTTCTATCGGGAGGGCGTTCGCTAGCCTGATCTGCACGTAAAGGAGAGGCAGCAC